AGGATTATGCTGTCCACTTGGTTCCACCGCTGGACCAACCGCTCCACGTGCAACAGTCCACCGCATGCACGGTTTCATCACCATCGGCAACCGATTCGGCAGCTTCGCCGCAATCTATCTCCAGGGATTCGACGTCATGGTCAAGACTTGAAGAGCTCGACCCATTGACGTTCACGGACTTCCAGTGGATGCCCGTTCCCTCGACCGGACAATTGCCAAAACCGCATTAAATGTACTCATGGCACAATTGCGAACTACTTGCACACTCCAGTACCAGCTCCGTTGATGGACGCCGGAGTAGAGGTTGTCGGCCTTCACGTTTACATCGCAAAGATCGACCGCGAGTTCAAGATGCAACGGTACGACGACATCGACGCACCATTGCTATACGTACGCATTCAGATCGGAGAGGCGACCTGCAGTGCCTTGATCGATTGCGGAGCATCTCGCAACTACATCAGCTAGGACTTCATGGTACGCGCCGGCCTTGGCCCACGTGTCTGGAGGAAGTCCCAGCCTACGCAAGTCACTCAGGCAGACGGTCATACGCACAAGTCCATCGACCGGTGCATTAACGCCGTCCCAGTGTACTTTGCCCGTCACGCAAGTGAGGCGGTGTCCTTTGACATTCTGGACACCAAATTCGACATGATCTTGGGCATGTCATGGCTGCGAAGCGAGGATCACCCAGGGAACTTCTTCAACCGCACCGTTCACATTCGTGATCGGAACGGAGTATTAGTTTCATGCACGGTGCCTCTTCCTCATCCTTCGATCAGCTGCCACGTGGTATCCGCCGCAAGCATGCGAGCTTCCATCATCAGAGACGACATCGAGGAGATGGGGGTGTATTTTCTCCATGCCCTCCCGCCACATGACGCTTCATCGACGGACTCACCTTCGGATCCACGCATCACCGAACTTCTCGACACCTACAGCGACGTGTTCGAAGGCCCGCACAGAGTAGTACCGGATCGACCCATCCGCCACGAGATCATCCTCGAGGACGGGGCCGTACCTCCGCGCGTTTGCATATACCGAATGAGCGAGGAAGAGTTAAGTGTGCTCCACGCACAACTCGACGACCTTCTAGAGAAAGGCTGGATTCGGCCTAGCTCATCGCCATACGGTGCTCTTGTTCTCTTTGTCCGGAATAAGAACAAGGACATGCGGTCGTGTATCGATTATCGCAAGCTCAACGCGCAGACGATCAGGAACGCCGGCCCTCTCCCACGCATCGATGATCTTCTCGAGCGATTGGGCGGCGCCCAGTTTTTCTCGAAGCTGGATCTCAAGTCAGGGTATCACCAACTCGAGATTCGCAAGGAGGACCGTTACAAGACCGCATTCAAGACACGGTATGGGCATTTCGAATGGCTGGTTATGCCATTTGGCCTTACGAATGCCCCGGCCACTTTCCAAGCGGCTATGACAACGGAGTTCCGATACATGCTGGATCGATACGTACTTATCTATCTCGATGACATCCTGGTGTACAGTCGGAGTTTGGAGGAGCATGTGGAACACCTGCGCACCGTTTTGGAGCGGCTACGACAGGCCAAGTACAAAGCCAACCGCGACAAGTGGGAATTCGCGCGGTAGGAGTTGGAGTACTTGGGCCATTATGTGACGCCGCAAGGCATCCGTCCGCTCGCGGAGAAGATCGAGGCCCTACGAGTATGGCCCGAGCCCACCAACACCACGGACGTTCGTTCATTCATGGGATTGGCGGGCTACTATCATCGATTCATCACCGATACTCCAGGATTGCTGCACCTATGACGAGGTTACGGTTGCCAAAGGTGCCATTCGTATTCGATGATGACGCACGCCGGTCATTCCAAGCACTTAAGACGGTCATGCTCATGGCACCCATCCTTAGCATCTATGACCCCACCTTGCCGACGAGAGTGACTACGGACGCTTCCGGCTATGGCATTGGGGCAGTCTTGGAACAGCATGACGGCGACGACTGGCACCCTGTGGAGTATTTCAGCCACAAAGTGCCTCCCATCAACTCGCTTGATGATGCAAGGAAGAAGGAGCTACTCGCGTTCGTCATGGCTCTCAAGCGATGCGGCACTTCCTCCTTGGGCGTCGTAGGTTCACATAGGTTACGAACAACAATCCATTGACCTACTACAAGACGCAGGATACGGTGAGCAGCACGATCGGACGATAGATGTACTTCATCGACCAGTTTGACTTCACACCGAAACATCTACCCGGCCTCTCAAATCGCGGAGCAGATGCACTCTCGAGAAGACCAGATCTTTGCGCTATGACACATCATGCCTTCGCATTCGACGAGGAGTTTCAGCGACACTTCATCCGRGYATATCAGTCTGATCCGGACTTCGRCACGCTCTATGCACARCTATCTTCGGATCACCCGCCGACCAGCCATTACCGCATTGCCGACGGGTACTTGCTCCTCCACTCGAGAGGCAASGACTTACTATGTGTCCCACGTGACCGTCGTCTTCGGACTCGCCTCCTCGGCGAGTAYCATGATTCAYGACTCGCCGGCCATTTCGGAGTCAACCGCACTATTGCACGGCTTCGACAGCGATTCCGATGRCCCGACCTCATTACCGATGTCACTCRGTRTTGCGACTCTTGCGAAGTTTGGTGACGTAGCAAGCCCCGCAACCGCAATCCCTACAGCGAGTTACACCCGATGCCTATCCCACGGGAACCCGGTCTCTCCATTGCCATGGACGTCACCGGTCCGTTTCCTCGCGACCGGCTCGGGCACGATGACATCCTCACGATTGTGGACCGATTGAGTAAGTACGCGCGTTTTCTCCCTTGCAAGTACTACTCCACGGCTCCCGAGTTGGCACGCCTCTTGCACACTGGTTGGATTTGTGGCCACGGTGTACCAGAAGACATTGTCATCGACCGTGACACTCGTTTCATGTCGGCGTTTTGGACTGCTCTCATGCAGGAGTCCGGCACAACAATGAAACCAAGTTCGGGTCGACATCCTCAAACAGACGCGGAGACGGAGCATCACATCAAACCGCTCAAATGATGATTCGTACGCTCATCCGTCCGGACCAGAAAGATTGGATTGACCGCCTCCCCGACATCGAGTTCGCCTACAACACTTTGGTGCATCTGGCAATCGGCGTGACTCCATTCGAGTTGCACCACGGTGGACAGAAAGGCCGGATCTTCGCAGACCTTCTCCTCCCTCGACCAGCCGACATCGACGCTGCCTTCTCTCCCGCTTCCGTCCGGAAGTACAGGGAATTGCTGACTCAAGCCCGCGCAAATATGCAAAAGGCTTAAGTCCGCATGCAGCAGCAAGCCAACAGGTGTCGCGTACCATGTCCCATCCGTGCCGGTGATCTGGTTTGGGTCTCCGCAGAAGAGTTTGCACTGGAACAGGATGTTTCACGCAAACTGCTTCCCAAGTGGTTTGGACCTTGGTCTGTGACAGCAGCCGCGGGCGATGAGCCCGATGGCCCTTCATTTGTGATCAACATTCCTGAGCATCTGACGGTCCATCCGGTCTTCCACGCCTCGAAGCTGGCAACATACACGCCAGCCAAGAGCGACGACTTTCTGGACCGACGATCGCAGGACCCTCCTTCTATGGATGGCCATCAGGAAGTTGACCGCGTCATCTCCGATCGCAAGTACGGCAGCAAGCCGCGGCAGTACAAAGTCACATTCAAAGTATGCGATCGCAACGACACTCGGTGGATTTCAGGCGCAGATTTGAAAGCATCCGCACCGCTGATTTACGCGCATTATGAAAAGCGCATGTTAGCTCAGGAAGCTTCACGACCAGCCCCTCCTACCCGAACTGTGGTCCCTCCCTCAGACAGACAGCTTCGCCCTCGCAGGTAAGCTCGGTTCTTCAAGGAGAGGGGGGTGTGGCATACTGCGTAGCCACACGGGCCCTGCAGGGCCCGTCCCGGACATTCGGCCTAAAAGCCTAAAACTTAGGGCTTACAGGCCCCGTTCGTTTCAGCCTGGATGTTGAAAAACGAGGGCCTGCAGGCCCTACCCCGTTTCAGCCTATTTCTGGGTCTTTTCAGACCCAGAGTTTTCAGCCTGAAACGGAGGGCCATTTTCAGGCCCTCATTGTTTCGACCTGCCCCTAAGGCTCAGGCACGTAAACAGGGATGTGGAACAGGCCAGAAATAGCCTGTTCCTCACGAGTTGAGCAGGAGCTGCAGCTGCAGCCCCTGCCTCCCTTCGGCAGGTTCATGAGGCACACCCGTAGTACATAGGAAGTTCCCATGCACTTCACGGGTAGGTAGTTCAGTAGGCACGAGGTAGTCTTCAGGGATCGACCGCATCACTCAGGAGAAGCGTTGCAGTAGTCTTCAACGCTAGGCAGTAGTGGTAGCGCTAGCTGTAGTCTTCGGCGCTGGGCGCCAAAGCTGTAGCTGTAGTCTTCGGCACTGGGCGCTGGTAGGCGGTAGATCGTAGAGTGGGAGAGAGACTGACGGAGGCCAGTGTTACTTACCTGTGGCGCCATCACTCCAGCTCCATCTTCGTGGTACCTGCATCAAGGCGCCAACTTCACAGGTTAGTACTGGACACAGAGAGAGAGGGAGAGTTTTTCTTCTTCCTCTTCTAAGTCCACCTTCTCTTCTCACCCTCTCGCCACCTGACTTCTCAGACTATGACAGAGAGAGACAAAGTTGTGACTTGAGACTTGACGACATTGGATCCAGACTGGACATTTGGGATTCAGACATTCCGACGAGGGACTATTTGGGCTTGTGCAAAAGACTTGGTGTTGACGACATTCCCATCTTCCCCCTCCTCTTCGTCTATCCCCTTCCTCTTCGTCTGTGTATGGTATGGACTTGCGCTGTCTTCCTGTGTGAAGTGCCATACCCATTCACACCTTATACCTGCACGTTACTGTATGCAACAGTCGAGGAGTGCGCATATCAAAATGTTCACAATGCGCCATGAAACAAGAGGACACGCCCCAGGGGTGGGGCACACGACTGGCATTGATGCAGGCAAATCTTGGAGGTGAGCCATCCGATATGCGGACCGCTTTTTTTTCTTTTTTTTTTCCGGTTGGCCATCGTTTTGTGTCCCCCTTCTCCTTTTTTCATTTCGCGCGCCTGTCATTTTTTGTCCCTCCTTCTTTTTGTGTTTTTTTCCTCTCCTTCCCTTTTTCTTCATTTCTCACGCGGCTATTGTTTTGTGTCCCCCGGTAGGCCGTCGTTGTTTGAACATCTTGGAGACCAGCCCTCCGAAATGCAATGTGAGGTCACCCGCTGTATTCGTTATTTCTGCGGGTGTAGCCTGCACTGCCAGATTTGCGGGCACTTAGCTAGTCTTATATATAAGCCTCACAATTCATTTTYTYCCCCAACAGCCTCAAGTCCATTTTGAACAAGGAAAAATTGCGTCCTCACCCAGTTCCCAAGATGGGAATTGCCTATATACCCGTGTYWGGTGCCCATCTTGYCGCTACCTKGTACCCTGTYGAACCACCACTCCCTCCAACATCAATAGCCTACAGGCACATATACCTACAATACCAAACACACACACATGCATAACYATAGGGCTGRGAGGAGGTCACAACCAACTAAATAATAGGCGTCTTGACGATAAGAGAGGGCGTGAGTTACTTGTTGGTCTACTTAGGGGCTAATAGGTGATTGTTTGAGCCTAGTGTTTGAAGTTCCCGTACGACAGGGCTCGTTCTACTGAGCTTCCACCAGGGCTAGGTCACTAGCCCTGGTGCCTGTCACTACTATTCGGTCCAAGTTCCCTTGATGGTAGGGTAATGGTCCTGAGTGCTGGTCACAATGAGGTAGGATAGTAGGAATAGGGGGTGCGTTAGGAGTATTAACGCGAGGATGGGATAGGAGGTAGCCTCGTCCCTTCAGACCAATCATGGCTGAAAGCTTCCGGCGATCAATGTGAGCCCAGTAACTCGCCTTTACAACACCCTGGACTTAAAAAAAAAAATAAAAAAAAAATAGGGGGACCGTTAGCACAGGTGCATTAGGGCTAGTACTGGTAGTAGACTATGCAGAACCGAAAAAAACACACAAATTGAAAATGTGTTGAAATGCCTCTGCGATTTATCTCGTGGTTTAAGCAACTTTTAAAAATTTTAAATATGTTTTTCCTGGAAACATCACAAGCCAATACACTGACCCTCAAATTTTCCAAGTCCTATACGCATTCTTTGAAGCGGGGAAAATCACAGAAGTTGGCTACGTTTCCCGTTGGCCTACAAATGACACTATCATGGCAAAAGTGAAACATGTAACGAATTGGTGCGGCGATTGTTTCACGGGGAAAATGATTTTATTTTATTTTTCTGATACTATTCCTGGGAAGATCACGAGCTAATCTACCAATGCTCAAATTTTTAGAATTTTCTGTGAATTCTTCTGGCCACAAAACATGGCCAAAGTTATCGCTTTCAAATTTCGGGACTAGGCCTACCGTTTTGGCCTCCGGTCGCGGCCCGAGCTCACAGGAAGGGCTATTTCCGACTGGCAGAGGGAGTGGTGGTATCAAGTACACAAGTTTTCCCCTCCGTGACAATATTTGTGTACTAACCGATCCTGCACGCCCTTGACGGGGGACCGACAAATCATGCCAATGCCCAGAAAGTCAACAAGGGACAATTTAGGTGTACCCACAACCAAAAGTCAAGGAGGGACTACGTATCATAGACCTGGCTACACAAGGAATGATTCTTTCCATTCAATGGATTAAGAGACTACTCTTTAACCCGCAAACTCAATGGATATTTTTTATTTTTTGAACGAAATTGAAACTGATTTTTTTTTACTTTCTTGGCCGAAAACTCAGCCTAAATTTGTTGCTCTTTAGGGTCCGGCGTTTTTAAAACGCTGGAACCCCTGTATGTATCTGGACCAAGCTTGAGACTAGGTACATCCAGACGGTCTCCCCTGGATGTATCTGGTCTCTAGCTTAATCCTGATGCTGGACCCTCAGGAGAAACTAAATTAAGACGAGTTTTTGGCAAAAAAAATAAAAAAACTCAGTTTCAATTTCGTTCAAAAAATAAAAAATGCCCATTTTGATGAAATGGTAGTTAGGAGGGGTATCCTGCACATCAAAGACATTTGGAATATGGATACTAAGGATTGTATACCATSAGATAAATTGTAGAGACAATTACGATATTGTCATCATTCAGTGGAAGCACTAGACCAAGTCATTGAATTGATCCCCTTCGACTGAATTAGGATCCTCAGAAAAGGACTTAAGCTGGAAGATGGAGATTGGATGGCCATATTAAATYAAGTTGCTTTGGTTGGAAATATATTACAAATCAATCCCAATGGTGAAATCTTGTTGGTCCTATAGAGGTTAACACATGACTATATAATACAACMTAATCCTAAGGAGGAGACTARATGGGTTGATGGGGAGCAAGTTTTTAGGATCAGAGTCATGAAGCRTAGCGAGAAASGGTTGGCTTTTAAACCCAGTATACCTATCCAATGCTTGGCACTAGATCCCAATAACTGGGTTTGGACTTCGCCAGAAAGAAGAGGTCGYTAATATAAGAGAATGYTTYACACCTTGTCTGTCAAATCAACATATAGGATGTTGAGACCTMACATAAATATAAAAGACAGGGTGGARGACAGATGRATGAAGCAATTAAATTTAAGCAAAGAAGTCCTCAAGTCAATTAAATGGTTCCGAAACATGAAATCTAAGCCTACCAAAGTAGTCTCCTTKCAATGGCAAATTGAACACCGATGTCTGCCTACCAATGATTGGTTGATTAGTWGAASGATACTGGAACAAAAGGGGATARCTCTCCTCTGGTGTCATTTYTGTAGATCTKCTTTTCCAGTAAGAACAAKCCTTGAAACATATTGAACATATCTTCCTACAATGCCCAGRGGCTATTTGGTTGTGGAGATGGTGGGATAGGATTTGGGATACACTGGGAACCAGTTRTCWGTGRCCCTRGGATTCRAAGGTCATTCTGCTGRAATTCTAGGTTCCAGAACCAYATGATGAGTTCACACATAACCTATTCACGATTGGAAGAAGAGGGATRCTCKGGRCCATATGGAGGAGAAGATGTACCTATGARATGGAAGGAGCAAGGTTGGATGGTCTTGAATTCACGGACTYAATTAAAYAACAAATTCAAACAGTGATTAGGGTACAGTGGGATAATGTTAAGGATCAAATTYAGCACTTACACTCAAAGAGTGAAATCCGGAACCATATTAAAAAATCCAGCCGCAATTGGCTTGGGGGCCCACAAGCTGTGCAAYCGGTTGAACGCGTTGAATGCGCGTTCACGTTCAAAYGCGCGCGTTCATACCCCTCGGGGCCGCGTTCAATCGYGTTYAATCTCGTTCAAACGCGCTGCTCGCCACGTGGCGCGAAAAACTTGAACGGGACCCCGGGAGGCGCGCACGCGCGTCGCGGACTACGGGGTGGTGGGCCTCGTTCAACGAACCCCGAAAGTGCAAACAAAAGCCCCCCCGGAGGGCCACCCCCCCTACCGCGTCACCCCCCGCCATATGTGAAAGGTCCTTTTTTTTGGGGGGGGGAAGTGGGGGAATCCCCCTAACACGGTTTAGATGGCCCATGTAGGCTATCTGAAGGGTCCTCACAGCCATGTAGTTCAGACCCCGCCACCGAAATAAAGGCAGGCAGTGAATATAAAGTAGAGCACGAGATGGCCGAATATATACTCGAGATTCGAATTCAGGTCTGTGTTTCAACAGTTATGGGTTGCTCACGTAGCTAGGCCATGTGATTCTCAGGGCTTGGCTGCACTACTCACCAAATGTGGAAAAGTAGAATGAATCTTTTGCAGAACATGGAATAATACGCCGCCATATGTTTTGTCTTTTGTGCATGTGGTGAGTAGAGGCCTTAGGGCCACTGCACGTATTCCTAA